GTGATATCGAACCTTGTAGTACAATTTCAGAAAGATCCATACACTTACACACAAGTTATTGTCATGAAACTAGAAAAATGCTTTTTTTTGCCCCTTTTTTTGCCCCTAATTCCTAAACTTTTGAGGCAAATACCCCCTTACTCAATCCCAGCATTCCCTTTGTGGTATGGTACCTTGCAGTACAATTTCAGAGAGATCCATACACTTGAACACAAGTTATTGTCTGGAAACTAGAAAAATGCTTATTTTTGGCCCCTTATTCCTAAACGTTTTGGGCAATTACCCCCAAACTCAATTCCAGCTTTCCCGTTGTGATATCGAACCTTGTAGTACAATTTCAGAAAGATCCATACACTTACACACAAGTTATTGTCATGAAACTAGAAAAATGCTTTTTTTGCCCCTTTTTTGGCCCCTAATTCCTAAAATTTTGAGAAAATTACCCCGAAAATCAATCCCAGCATTCCCTTTGTGATATGGAACCTTGTGGTACAATGTCAGAGAGATTCATACACTAACACACAAGTTATTGTCTGGAAGTTACAAAAATGCTTATTTTTGGCCCCTAATTCCTCAACTGTTGGTGCCACAACCCCCAAAATTAATCCCAACCTTCCTTTTGTGGTATTGAACATTATGGTAAAATTTCATAGAGATCCATTCACTTAAACTAAAGTTATTGTCCGGAAACTAAATGCATTTTTGGACGACGCAGACGACGACATGATAGCATTATACGACGCAAAATATTTTTTGCGGTCGTATAAAAACTTCATTTTACCCCTAAGTTCTATTTGTATCCATGGCGGCCATGTTATTTGACGAAACAGTAAATAGAACTAAAACTTTATTCTAAATACCCTAAGCATCATTCAGCTCAAGTTTGGTTGGAGTTGGTTCAGTAGTTTCAGAGGAGAAGATGTTTGAAATAGTTTACACCAGACGGACGCCAAGTGATGGCAAAAGCTCACAGCTCCTTCGGAAGGGTGAGCTAAAAACTAAGAGGCTCTAAAGAGCCTGTGTCCCTCACCTTGGTCTATGTGCATATTCAACAAAGGACACTCTCCAACATTGTAGACGAGAACAGAATTCATGACAAAAATCTCTAATTTGTTGATCTTGTATTGCTGATCATTTTAAAATAGTCTGTTTAGTTTCTATCTTTTTTGCTCAAAACACAAGAAGGTAAAAAAAAACTCTCATTTAAGGACAATCACTTCTATAAAGAGTGAAAGTCTACTAACTATATTGGCAAAATTGACTTGATAGTAGATCTTGCCTTGCTGATCATTTTTGTGATTTAAAGTGTCTACCGGTACTTATATATTATAATTTTTATCATATAAGGCAAAATAAAAAAAAGGGTAAAAATCGTCATTAAATGGCAACAACTCCAATAAGGAGTTGTTTGACGGTTTCCTCTATATTGTCTTGATTGTAGATCTTGTCTTGCTGAATATTTTTGCTTATTTAAGTTTCTATCTATCTATTATAATTTTTAAGATACAAGGCAAAAATGCAAACTAGAGGCTCTAAGGAGCCTGTGTCGCTCACCTTGGTCTATGTGCATATTAAACAAAGGACACAAATGGATTCATGACAAAATTGTGTTTTGGTGATGGTGATGTGTTTGTAGATCTTACTTTACTGAACATTCTTGCTGCTTACAATTATCTCTATCTGTAATGAACTTGGCCCAGTAGTTACAGTGGAAAATATTTTGTAAAAATTTACAAAAATTTATGAAAATTGTAAAAAATTGACTATAAAGGGCAATAACTCCTTAAGGGGTCAATTGACAATTTTAGTCATGTTGACTTATTTGTAGATCTTACTTTGCTGAACATTATTGCTGTTTACAGTTTATCTCTATCTATAATAATTATCAAGATAACCAAAAGCTGCAAAATTTTCTTAAAATTACCAATTATGGGGCAGCAACCCAACAACGTGTTGCCTGATTCGTCTGAAAATTTCAGGGCAGATAGATCTTGATCTTATGAACAATTTTATCCTTGTCAGATTTGCTCTAATTGCTTTGGTTTTAGAGATATGAGCCAAAAACTGTATTTTACCCTATGTACTATTTTTTAGCCATGTCGGCCATCTTGGTTCGCGGGCGGGGTCATCAGACACATTTTGTAAACTAGATACCCTAATGATGATTTTGGACAGGTTTGGTTAAATTTGTCTTAGTAGTTTCAGAGGAGAAGATTTTTGTAAAAGACTATAAAGGACAATAACTCCTTAAGGGGTCAACTGACCATTTTGGTCAAGTTGACTTATTTGTAGATCTTACTTTGCTGAACATTATTGCTATTTACAGTTTATCTCTATCTATAATAATATTCAAGATAACCAAAAACGGCAAAATTTCCTTAAAATTACCAATTCAGGGGCAGCAACTCAACAACGGGTTGTCAGATTCATCTGAACAATTTTACCCCCTGTCAGATTTGCTCTAAATATTTTGGTTTCAGAGATATAAGCCAAAATCTACATTTTACCCCTATGTTCTATTTTTAGCCATGTCGGCCATCTTTGTTGGCAGGCGGGGTCATCTGACACATTTTGTAAACTAGATACCCTAATGATGATTTTGGACAGGTTTGGTTAAATTTGTCTTAGTAGTTTCAGAGGAGAAGATTTTTGTAAAAGACTATAAAGGACAATAACTCCTTAAGGGGTCAACTGACCATTTTTGTCAAGTTGACTTATTTGTAGATCTTACTTTGCTGAACATTATTGCTATTTACAGTTTATCTCTATCTATAATAATATTCAAGATAACCAAAAACGGCAAAATTTCCTTAAAATTACCAATTCAGGGGCAGCAACTCAACAACGGGTTGTCAGATTCATCTGAACAATTTTACCCCCTGTCAGATTTGCTCTAAATATTTTGGTTTCAGAGATATAAGCCAAAATCTACATTTTACCCCTATGTTCTATTTTTAGCCATGTCGGCCATCTTTGTTGGCAGGCGGGGTCATCTGACACATCTTTTAAACTAAATACCCTAATGATGATTGTGACCAAGTTTGGTTAAATTTGGCCCAGTAGTTTCAGAGGAAAAGATTTTTGTAAAAGTTAACAGATGATGACGAGGGATGACAAGTGATGAGAAAAGCTCACATGGTCCTATGGGCCATTAAATAAAGTCCAGTTAAGTCTGACTTCTTGTTGAGGAGATCTAGCTGTCAACATGTTTGTCCATACGGTCATCCCCATTCTTCATCCTAAACTTCAATGAGGAAATAAATACCATTAAACAACATTTTAACAACAATGGTGTAAAGTAAAATCTAAATCCTGGATCAAGTTGTTTTAAGGAGGCAAGATAAACATACTACATAAGAAGTATCAAAAGTTTTATTGATTATTAATTGTCCAATTATTTGTTAAACAGATTAAAGTATCCTGCTTCCTTCCATTCTATCAAAAATAAATTACAAAATAGAGGCTCCATCACAGGGTTGTGTCATTTCTATGTGAGAGAGAGAGAGATTTCTATACTACCTTTGGCTTAGTAGGTCCTAACAAACAAACACAGACATTATATATTTTGATTGTTCACATAAAATACAAATATCATAATGACTAGCTTTAATATTAACTGATTTCTTGTTGTTTGAACAACTTTTGTTTTACACAAAACACATGTAGAGATAATTTCAAATAGAGATTTTTTAGAAATATTCAACGTTTCAATTTTGCTTTGTCTTTTTACATAAATATTTTTAATAAAATAAAAATTCAATACCATTGTTTTATTAAATTTTCCTGTTATGATTTGTTCAAGCAAACCCTTTAAATTACAGATTAATTGATCGATCGATGTTTACTTAATGTCCAGTGGCAAATGATTAATGCTATAAATAACAGAAGTCTATCCCTCTTTTCTAAGATAATGGCTATTGAGATGATACAACCCTGTTTATGAAAGTCTATCCACATATGTCGTGGACATTATGATATGATATTTAAGCACTATAATTCTGTGAAAATAAACAGTAATTCACATTAGGCCATACAAAATAACCATCACTGGACAGCTTAACAAATTCAAAACAAAGTTAATGAGGTGGGAGGCTTATTATTTCTTCTTTATAATTCACATTGGAATACTGGAACTTGTCTTCAGTTAAAAAGACCTGTTCAACAATTTATTTCTGACAGAAACAGAAAATGACTGTTGCCAAAGTACTAACAAATGTCATCAACAATTATAATGAAAAACAAGTTACATTATATCAAATGATTTTGTGCAAAATAAAAACAAAAAACAAACATTCAAGTTCATTAAATGTATCAGCAAAGATTAGCATGTATAGAAAACATTTTACAAAAGAGAGGGAGGGAAATTTTTTTCTTTGTTCTGCATTTTATAGTTTAATTATGCTTTTGATATTTGTAAATTGGCATTTATACAAAAATTTGTAGAAAATCTTGTGTATTTCCTACACTGTTTTTGTCTGTTTTATCTATTATTGTTCATGGCAATCTCATCATTTGACAAATTTTCCCTTGTGCGGACGTATTCCTGTTCATACCAGATATGTCTTAAACTGACAATCCTATCTTCAACATACATATAAAAATGACTGTACAGGAAAAACAATATTTAAATAACAAACATTAATTAATTCAACGTTCAAGTCTTAATTTTCCTTTTAACACAGTTTCACAAACAATTTAAACGAGACAAATTTTATTCATCACGATTTAAAGTTCTCTGGGTCAAACTCCTTGCCAACAAACTGACACAAATGTTTCACCACACAAACTCGGCTAACTGAAGCAGGATAAACGAAAGCTGATATTTCTTGATGTACTTTAAAGGAAGTGGCATTTCGATGGCAACAGTCAATGAGTGCACCAATTTGAATAACTGTACTGCCACTTGTTAGTGACACAAAGTTTGTTCATTCAGCAGTAAAGTTATGATTCATAAAGAGCTATGTTTGAAAGTTTTATACACAATACAGTCAATACAGTTCCTAAATTGTTTTCAATTTAGCTTCAATATCTGCCTCGTCTAAATCACCCAGGTCATTTGCTTGCACTTCTATTTTTATAGCCTGTAATTTCTTTTTTACAGCGTCTTTACTGGATGCATATATCATCTTTTCTTTCATTGGAGCTTCATCTGGACTCCTGAAAACAAAGTTATAAGTTTAAATTAAAAACATCATTTACATTGTATACATGTATAGATTCTGTAAAATAATAATCACTGAACAAAATCATAAAAAAGGTTCAGCTTGAATCCTTAGAATAAGATAATCTATTGCATTGTATATGCAAGTTAATATTATACAATTTGGTAAGGTTGATACTTATCAATTATGGACTTTTGACAAAGTCAAGACTTTATATATCGACCTGTTCAGATTATATTGACAGAGGAAGGAGTTCCAAGTGTCAATATAATCTAACAGTTCCATATATAACGTATTGACAGAGTGAAAGTCCTTAATTTATACATAACCTGCAAGGTTGGGCGGTAAATACCGCCCCTGGTTTCCCGAGCTATACTCCTCAAGTGGTCAATACTGGCAAATACTGGTCGATTGAAATTTTCATAGTGGTTTTTACTATTTATTGAAGTAAAAAAATGATAAAAAGTAAGATATATTTAAACTTTTATCTTTTGGCATGTTTCAGCTGATATAAATGAATAAATGTGATGTGTTTTATTCATTTTTAACACTTATACCTACTAGTGTAGTCCTTATAAGTTATGATATTGCATATTTTAGATATATATAAAGAATTGACAAATTAATTATTACAACATTTTTCAATCAAGATATTTTTTATTGAAAATGCATAATTTTTATAGCTACATAAAACTACAGGTAAATGAAGTTACAGTTGTCTTATTACCTATCGCCTGGCATTGCTAGGTCTGAACATTTAATTACTATAAAAACAACAGCCCCTAATAAATGATGACAAAACATGGTTGAAAGTAATAAAAGTGATATTTGAAGACTCACTTAAACAATGAAATATTTCCTGTCTATTAAATGTATGACAAAAATCATCTTTATGCTGGAAATGGAAGGTATGAAGGACATTTACTCTTATGGCTGAACTGTAATTTATGTTTTAAACCAAAAAATATATAATGTAGTATAAATTTTACCTTTACATAATCAATATTTACATGATTTACATACACACAGTACAATCATCTTGACCTTAAGCACCAAACTGAAACCTGAAGACCCTATTTGGAACTTCTGTACAATATAAGACAACAACAAAACCCGTGCAAAATGTAATGATTGCAATGCTATACTCATGATACTCAGTGCAAAAACCACCTGATGAGTTTCCTTGCCAGGGACGAAACATTTTTTATCTTAAGTACTAATAAATCATTGTAAATCACTGTTTGTTAAGAATTTATAATAAAAATAGAAATAAGAACATTTAAAATGACTTTAACAGTCTTCATGATAAACTTTTAAGTCTACAGGCCAGAGGATGAATTTTGTGAAAATTCTAGTTAGTTTCTATTGGCTTGTATAGATGATTTTTACAGGTCTGACAGCACTTTTACAGGCCTGGGCTGGTGGGCCTGTTGTTGAGTGCGAAGACTGCAGTTTAACATTTCATTATTTCATTACTAAATGTAATTGACCCGGTAGAGAGTGGTTTTTATAGTAATGTCCACTCAAAATTTCAATCAAACAGTATTTGCCAGTATTTACCGCCGGCATGGTCAATACTAGTACTGACCGCTTTTTTGCCAACCTTGATAACCTGTTTGTAAAAGGTGTATTCTGGAAATAAACCAACGTTCTTTCTGTGTATTTTATGTTGTATTTTGCAAGATTTTTAATATCAACTGTCATGAGTCGTTTTCCATAAATTTTACTTTTTTTTCTGGATACTTCATCAGTTGATATATAATGTGACCGTTTTGTGCATATTCAAATATATTTAGCTATGTGGAAAGACTTGTATAATGGCAAGTTATAAAAATACAAATTATTCAGTCTCTATAGAAAATAAACTGTTGACACAGATTATGTCTCGGTTGTCGGCATAAAATTCAGAAAAAGGCAATCTGATGGACAGCAACATTGCTTAAGTTATTAATTCGCTGGACCATGATTTAGTGGCCAGGGCCTCGAAATGGTTGATGAACTGAGATGTACAGACAGTAATGTAACTTAATAGAACATATCTTTGACTAGTAGTCTAGTATTGTAAGTAGTTCTTATCAATCTAACTTGAGCAGAAAACTTAATATTGACCCTGATCCAGGGGGCAGGGCCTCAAATAATCATCAATCTGATATGAACTAATAGTAATGCAACTTCATATAAAATATTATTGATCTTTCTCAAGTAGATCCTATCAAATCAGGGTTGGCAAAAACCTGGGTTTTATGAGAATTACCCAGCCCAGTTGGAAATACTGGTAATATGAAATACTGGCCTGAATTTTAAAGAGGATTTATAATTAGTGATTAATCACAAATGCAATAAATTAAAATGATTATAAAAAAAAGACATAGTATTTTAATTTATAAGTCCTTTTGGATTATTCAAACAAAGCTTGGAAATTAACGAGGTATCCTAAAATGTGCAAAACATGTATTCTGCCTACATAAAATGAGTGTAGAAAAGGAAAAAACTTAATTCTTAATCTTCTAGAAATGACTCTCAATGGTTATCTGTATAAAATGTATATTTTATACTTATTGACTGGGTATGAGAGGAATAGTAAGCTTATCATGTTTATTGTCCCAGAGGTGAAACTATTGCCCTGAGGCATAGCCGGAAGAACGCGAAATAAAATTGCCATTTCACGATGAACGAACAATAAAAAAATTTCTTGAAAGTTGATCTTTTTACCGATTTCACGAAACAAGGTGAATATATACCTTTTTCACGGCTGCACGTGAAATAAAAATGGCAAAACACGTTGCACGAAAATAACCTTTTACCACCCTCATTAACCAGGAAACCCTCGTTTTTCCCCTTTTTTGCCTCTATTTCCTAAACAGTTGGAGCCATAACCCCCAAAAGCCAATCCTAGCCATCCCTTTGTGGTATGGAAACTTGTGGTATAATTTCAGAGAGATCCATACACTTAAACACAAGTTATTGTCTGGAAGTTCTGGGAATATTGCCCAGTTATGGAAACCCTGGGTTTTCCTGCCCTGGTAATACTTTGCCAACCCTGTATTAAATTAACTTAAGATGAAAACTTAACATTGAAAATTGCTAATTAATTCAAAGTCATTTGACCATATCCTAGGGGGGGGGGGGGGGGGGAGGGCCTCAAAATAGTCGTCAAACTGATATGTACTGATAGTAGTGCAACTTTGTTTTAAATATCAATGATCTTTCACAAGTAGTTCCTATCAAACTAACATAAGCAGGAACTAAACAATTTTTGACGCCGTATTCATCGTCGCCGGAAAAACAATCTCTAGGTCTCACTGGGCGAGACAAAAATTATAAGATTTCCACTGTTTTTTTTTTAATGCAAAATGGGTGCAACTTGGGTACTGTGAGGCTAAATAAAATTGGTCAACACTGTTGCAAGATCTTCCTCCATAAATTGGGAAAGTTGACAGGCCTTTCTATGTTGAATAGTTCTCATTGATATCAGATGTGAATAGGCTGTGTTGCAACATCTTGCATGTACATGTATGTCAAGTGATTGAACCCATTCATACTTCTTTCATTCTGCAGATAAACAATAGGTGGAAATTAGATGAGACAAGATTCAAAACACCAAGTTGATCTGTCCAAAGTAGTTCCAACCCAATAGTAAAATAATGAATAATAATAAAAATAAATGGAGAATGTGTCCATGGGATACAGATGATGCCCCCACTTGCATGCAACATTATAAAGGGACATAACTAGAGAACTGTAAACTGTAAAAGTGATGCCACCCAAATTCAAACTTGATCTGTGTTTTATGATAATAAGCACTGTGTATACATGTAAGTTTCATAACATTTTGTTGAGGCAAACTAAAGTTAGAGAACGGAAACAATAAATTCAGTTATTTTTCCATTTATAAAGGGGCATAACTTAAGAATGGTAAAAGTGACCGCACTCAAAGTCTAACTTGATCTGTGTTTTGTGGTAATAAGCTTTGTGTACAAGTTTCATAACATTAGGTCAAGGGAACTAAAGTTGAAGAATGGAAACCAATTACAAGAGGTACGAACAGACAGACAAGGATAAACCTTAATGCCCCCTCAGCAATGGCGGGGGCATAAAAATTTGAAGGTTTTGACAGAGTTCATTTATGGTAAGTGGAACTTACACAGTAGAGATGTGCAAATAAAAAAAACATTTCTCAATTAGAACAGTTTTTATAACTTTAAACATAAACAAAGCTTGTATGCATCAGCTTGGGACTCTGAAACTTGCTTTCAAGATAAGAGTAGCCCACTTTACTCACCACGAAACAAGAATAATTTTACTATGTTTTTGTCCATTTTCTGTGGTGTAGTTGTAATCGTATAAAACGTATCTTGGTTCTTTCGGCGGAATAAACTTCTTCAGTTCTTTAAAGGGTAAGGTTCCGCATTCAAATTCCTGTTCTGTAACAATTTGCCTCTTTTCTTCCTTATTTATTTTCAGAACCAAAGCGTCTAATAAGTGCTTCGTTTTCAGTTTGGTGTCATATGTGGTTACAACGCTATCACCGAGTCCAACTCCTGACATAGCCATCTTGAAAGAAAAAGAGAATAAAACTAGTTCCGGTTTGATTTATCTCTTCAAAAAAATCCGGTCAATAATCCACATAACATTTGGAAATGTGTTAGAAATAACCAATATGACATAAAAAAAGGCAGAATTCAAATGTAAGCTAGTAACTGGTACCTACATGCTCCAAAGTACTAGGGCAAAATTTAGTGAAAATGCTATTCAACCAAATTGCAAGCTATGCAATGAATCTGAAGAAACCTTGGAACATTTCCTACTACATTGCTTAAGTCTATCTGATGTTAGGCAGCGATACATGGATAAATTATTCAAAATGCTACGAGAAATAGAAAGGGTAGGTACAAAAAATGTTATTAATAATGAACTATTACTCAAAATTATATTAGACTGCTCAGCACTAGACATAATGAGTAATCAACCAATAGACAAGTTGCTAGATATAGA